GCATTACCATTAGTGAATAACAATATAAAATATCGTCGAATAAAGTCTGGCATTATTTCGATCGTGTTTAGTGTCTTCTTCGATAACCTGATAAATTATGCTTCCGTTTGACTTTTACAGCAAAATCTTAAGTATAAGGTGTACGTAAAGAGCCTTTATGGAAAAAAAGATTTTATAGATATTAGATTTTATGAATATGGCAATACGGATCATATATTGAAATGCCTAAAACAGCAGACCAGACTATCAATGCAAAATAACTTCCGCCACAGAATTCTTATATTGTTATTCCTAAGATTAATAAATTTACTTCTATAATAGGCTACGCCTTCAAACACTGCTTTATTTATATATTCAGCTGACGTGTTGCGGTGAATATTAATTATTTACAAGGTAATGGCGAAATTACATTGAAGACGTTTGAAATTGTTTTAATATACCTAAAAATGACCAATACAGATGGAATGGAAATGAAAGAACTTACTTTGATCTTTACAAAGTATTATTTTCTTTATAAAGGGATTCATTTCACGATCTGTTTTAAGCTTGATAATGCAAAAAAGACTGGCTATTACATGACCATTTTGTGAATTTCTTATTATTTTTATGCCCGTTTTGTTTCTTAATAACACATAAGCGGAGCATGTTTACAAAAAGAGATATGTTTTCCACCTTATTACTTATTATGGAATTCTTCCTTAGCAGAGTGTTTATTAATAAAACAACTTGGTTCTGTCATACCTTATAGCATAGGCAGTTTATTCGACATACACTAACTCATAATTAAGGCAAAATTAGTGCCTATTTTACTCAATACTCTTAACTAAAAGGGCAATTTTCCAGCCTGCCTAGTCATTAAATCTTCTCAATTGATCAAAGTAAATTTCCCATATATATGCTAAATTACCAAGTTAAATTTTGTCTTGAAAGTTTCATGCAGGACTTGCCATACTATAATCACGTTTTTGTTAAAAGCGTGTGTTCATTATTTTCAGGTAAATCCAAAAAGGCAAAATGATCCGATTTTCACTTTGCGAGACCTTGTGAAATTTTAATATGCAGCACTTTTCGTTAAGTGAATAGCTTATTAAATTACTGTTTTCTAGTTGATCTTAGGCAGTACAAAATCAACTTTACGGTGTGTACACAATGGGTTTAAATGTTTATGCATACTTTAGAACTATGGCCCACTTGCCCATTCCTTTAAAAAATGATATTCATAACTACACTTTTTTGTGAAGGCTCCAAATAAATATCCCATTTTAAAGGCTTAATATAAACGAGGAGCCTGAAATATATATAGCTATATGGATGAGAAATTGATGCATTGAAAATGGGTAAACATGCTGCCGAAATTAAGAGGAAATTGTATAATTATCATTTCATTTAATGATTAGAGTTATATGCGTTGTACTACTCTATATCAGTTTTCCATGTCTGTAGAACTCTTCAATTCGTTTGAATAATAAATGTTTTTCTTGGAAGCCCATACGTCATGTATTCTATTTCTTTTTAATTCACTTAAACTTTTACCTAGGCTTCTTCAATGTGATTGCTAATCCTTCGCAAATGTCGTCATTTGTTTCCGACCGCAATAAACTTTGGCTGATTGACGACCAATAGCTTCCTGATATGTTTTTGACGCCAAAGACTATGAAAATGTGGGATGGCCATTTCTGGCTTATAAGCTTTCGTCGGCCAGTCAATACCAACCCCAACTGGTGCATCACTCAAGAGTTCACGGGAGTCTTACGCTCTTACCACTAACCCAGGAGCTCATTGTATTTGCAGTTTAGGAATGGATATACTGACACTCGTTATTGCCCTTCCACCAACCGCTTTTGCATCTCAATGTGTTTTATTATCCCCCCAAAAAAATAGGATACTCGATCGAGAACTTACCATCAGACAGATATGCAGTAGGATAAGACCGACTCGCCAATATTTATTTACGTTCGACGTGGATTTCTTTGCATAAACACTATCTGTTAGCTTCCATTTTTCGGGGTCAGGTGAGTCTGGCATTCTCTGATCTTTAAGAATCTGTATCCAAATGTATGAAGTGCAAGCTCTTGTCTCTAAAATAAGTTATAACACCAGGAGTGGAGGCCTTTTTTGAAGTGTTAGAGTATGCATAATAGTAATAAACATAATAAAAATGATACTTTAATAACCTAGTACGGATCGCTGGTTACAAACAGTTTATAATGCACATAAAAAGGCGTTTACATGAAAACCGGGATTTACAGATAACAATTACTTTTGCAACAAAAAGAGGGGGTGTTAGACAATGTACACTCGATTTTACCTCTATAGACCGTAATAGATAGAGGTACTGTACATTATGCGTTATAATTCGTCCAAAATGCCGACATAATGCGAATCGCTAAACGGCATTGACTCAGGTTGTGATACTGATTATCTTGTAGTCCATTCTGAAGTCCTTTCGGTCACGATGGGAGGCGAGCTTTTTAACGAGCTTTGTTCTGATCACTAACAAAACATATGTACTGTAAAAGGTAATCACCAAAATATTGTGCTTTTTATTATTGATTTATACTTCCTTTGTACCGCCAAATATATTTTATGTAACGCATAACGAAAAAAAATGTTTCTTGTTGTCGTTTGGTAGAAAATTTTGCCTTCTTTGCATATTACACTTAAAGATAGGGCATCTTTTGGTTTGCAAAAACGTGCCTATATGGCCGAATAATTTTAAAATCTACTGACTGCTACACTAGAATTCAAGGTTTACTACCTCCACACTGTGCACATCCTGTTAAACAAAAACAACGTTTTTGCCTCCAGTTTGAGTAAGAGGTCACGTGGTTAAAAATATTTTTCTTTTCGGAAGAAATGGATCAGCGACAACAGCTATTATCCACTGACGAGATACGGATAAAGCTTGTTTTGGTAGATTGCTTGTGGCGATCCCGAATAAATCAGACTGTGGCCCGCGTGCCTTTGCTCACTCATCTGGTCGGCCAATGCTTTGCATCTTTTCTTATGAAGGCAGGACTATTCTTACACAAACGTGCCTTAAACTACTCCCTTCATACGCATCACGCTTATTTAAACAATAAATTAATTATCAATTAGTGGACCTTACTTCATTAGCATTATCGCGGAAGAATTACAATGGTCATTGGTCCAAAGATGCTCCACGTTACATTATGTAGATCAAAGTACAATTTATCTTAGTCATCTTAAACTAAAATGACGCAATATATATATATATATATTGGGTAAAGAACTTATTCCAAACCTTAACTTCGTCTAGGGGTGGAATCATGATGCAACAGTAAACCTTAATTTTCATTAATGGCTCGTGAAATAAACCACCGATGGCAGAATCGAAATATCCGGTAACTTAATAGAGTTCATGTCATGCGAATAAACTGCAATAGGCAGCTAAATTAATGCACACTTCCATTGAAACTTGGGCTTACTCATGAAATCCGACAAATTTCACAAAAAAATCCATGTTTTAAAACCGCTTCTCAAATTGCGTCTCCAAAGTCTTGTAGCAAGTTTTAGCCGCAGCATTTAAAAGCGTGGGAAATTCTTTGGAAATCAACAGTTGATACATTTAGCGTCATTCAGCCCCTATTGACCCCTACTATATTGATCTGAACCTAATATGTGGGCTTGATCAAACACTTAAATTTTGATCGTCAAATTACATCAGATAAATCATATACTCTACTCTGAAATATATAGTTAGTGAGGTAATGTGTGCAGCGTCAATATCGAAGTTAGATTTAGTAATTTAGTATATATTTGGTCAGGCTCTTATGAACGGCAAGTGCGCTTAGGTATTGCACCTCATAAACCTCTAGTCCCTCTATTTTTATTTTAGGGAAACGGTAGTTATAGGGGTTTTGGGCGGACGAAATAGAGTAGGCATTTAGAGAAATTCCTAGAAGTGAGTGCAAAGTAGACAAATGAAGTTGAATTCGTTTCCCTCGGCTGCTGGAAGTTAGTTATTGTGAATATAAATTGACGAGGTGCGAGGCGCTTTGCGACGCGCCGTATACTAATCTAACTCCAGAACGGTAACTTATACATCACACAAATTGCAATAGACGGTCTGATAATTGCCGTTCTACGTTTTACTGAATTTTGAGATATGTGTAATTTGGTAGGCCGATTTTTCCGGTATACGTTAACTAATAGGACGTTTTAGTAAAAATAAACAGATATAAGTCAACAAAATCTATGCGAGCAGTAAAATTAAAAATAAATAACAGTTTTTAAAATACATTTCACTACCTTTCCCAAGTCCTTTTCCATAAAACGCCTATACCAACCGTATATTGAGGAAAAAAACTGATACTGGGGATATGTTAGGTGCTTTACTCAAATTGCTGATGCTTGTTGGTCTAAATCGTGAAGTAGCCCCAGATAAGGCCTATAGTAAGTAAAATGAGCCGTTTATATAAGCATATTTAAGTGCAACGTAGAAAATCCGGACGAAATCAGGAAGTGCCTGATGTTAAAAAAATTTCCTGTGGTTTTAAGTAAGCTAGAGCCAATGTGTTTGCTTTATGTTATGATACAAGCGCATAAAAAGTTTAAAATATATTCCCTTCGGAAGAGCTGGATCAGCGAAAAAATATATTATTCGCTGGCGAGACATTAATAAAGCTTGGGTCGGTGTATTGCTGGGGACGACTCCAAATGAACCAGACTTTGGTTCACGTGCATCGGTTTAGACACCTAGTTGGCCATTGCTATGCATCTTTTGATGGAGACAGAACTACGCCGACACAGGCGAGTCTCAGCCCATTCCCTCTTTACACGTCATACTTGTTTTTGGACTCGGAGGTTATTACAATTTTTTGGGAAATCAATTTTCTACAAGAAATGCATTTATTAGCATTATCGTGGAATAAACAAAAGGTGACTGATCCAAGAGCGTTCGTTGTATCATTCTCGAAAGTCTTATTTATTTTACGTGAATTGCCACTGTATAGATCTCATTTATAAATCAAGAATTCGCCTGGGGGAGGAATCAGGGAGGAGCTGTTCGAATCGGCGATAGTATATAAAATTAAACTTTATGTGTGATGCACTGCTCTAATAGCAAAACTTTAATGGCCGAATCGATATTGCTGATAAGATAAATGACTTCAGCCTGGTACAAAACTGCGGCAGTTCTTACTGTGTAACATATATACTAGAATAAACGTCCTATATACCTATCATTGTTGTTGTCCTTGAACAATAAATTAATTTTCACTTTACGGAAAACATTTCTACAACAGCTGGTTTTACTACGTTGAATAAAAGGCAGACAACTGATCCAAAACTGTCCTTTTTTACATTATATATGTCTCAATATCATTGATCCTAGACCTTTTACAGCAAAATCACGCAAAAACAATGGTTGAAGAAGAGCTGAGTTTTTAGTTGCAAGTTTATCTACGGGATAAATTGATATGTTTATCACGTTAAGACGATCTTCAGTAATGAGTCGTAATCTTGGAATCGAAGTTTCTTTCATTTACATTAATTAAGACTTAATTAATTAAAAAATGCAACTGGAATCGATATTTTGTGATAAGAGCAGCGCATTAACGAACATGTGTATAAAACAGGATGCTTACCGCAGGATTTCTCATCCAAGGTCATCGGATTCCAGTGGGTGCAGGCATTTATATAAAACGGTGAGCTTTCGCATGAGTGTAGGCTTTCGCATGCTACAGACTCGCTGCCTGCGGCTGCGTTAATGGCAAGCAACGTCAGCGGAAGGGTCTCAGACATCTGTACATGTGCGTACTTGCGTGTGTGTGTGTGTGTGTGTGTGCGTATGTGTCTGTGTGGTCATTTTTAACACGATAATCGCGATATGCTCCCAGAAGTGGGGGGGGGCTGAGCTTTACATCCCAACCCCAAACAGTGTCATGTGATAACTCTGAGGCGGCACGCATTCGCGCAGATTGATCTCCTATAGATAGTGAAAAAATGCAAGCTGTCATATTTGATTTCCAAAAGGTTACGTTTCTCCATAATGCATTGCAATGGATGGTGGATGTCAAAATTTTTTTGAACAAGGTTTGTATAATAATGCATTTGAAAAGTAGGAATCCCAAGAAATGCAAGCTGACGGCGAAGGTGTTCTTTGGGAAAGAGATCTTTATTTGCGTGTATTTCGAAACTGGAGCCGCAGTTCGTCTTCAGATGCGAAGGACATTGAATGTCCCAAAAAAGCTTACAGCAACAGTTCGTGGGAAAATCGATAATGCCATGGCGTGGCGCTTGTGCCAGCACCCATTTGCCATGCTTTTTATGCGGCTCGCACTGGCTCGCGTCTCAACTACTTCAGCTCGAGACTTCGGTATGACGACTTCAACATCTATGCGCGTGTCTATGCATTTTGCATCCAAGTGCATAGGTTCGAGAAATCCGCTGGATTTCTTAAAATAGCGGACAGGCATTACTCCCTGACTATGTCTCTGATGACGAATCCGCGACGGATATCGAAAGTGAAGGCGAAAAAAAGGTATTTTTCTAGCGATCGGGTAGTCTTTTTCTCAGTATGAGTGTTGTCACATGCAAAGGTTTGTCCGGTGTCCATGGTATGCATGGCGACCTGGGACAGGTTGCCTCATATTCTTACCACCAACTGTTGTTGGTGAATGCACGCTGAGGTGGATTTTCCCGTCTGGCCACAATGCTCGGCATCGTACGATACATACGGCAATTCTTATACAACGTTACTTCGGTCTAAATTTTTCACCTTATCTTTAGAGTATAATAGGTTGATGCGTAATGCTTTTTATTGCAGCGCCTGAGTTCTCTTTCTTTGATCCCTGGGTTTTCCACGGATTGGCATATGAATTCTTTGGGGTAGCAGTTTTGTGACAATAAATCGAATAAGAACTTCAGTTCGCTCCGGTAGCCTTGTTTGTCTAAACAATGCGTTCTTGTCCGATTTACCAGACTGTTGACAGTACTTCTTTCATGACATATGGGGTGGTTGGCCACATAGTTTACGAATACTTTCGCACATGTTTATCGGT